AAAAAAAATAAAAATAAAATAATTAAATTTTTTTTTTTTTTTTTTTTTTTTTTAATTTTTTTTTTTTTTTTTTTTTTTTTTTTTTTTTTTTTTTTTTTTTCATTTCCTAAACATTACAAAAAAAAAAAAATTAATGAATAATTCATTTCTAATAGTTAAGTCAATAATTAGTTAGTTTAGCAGAAACTCGAAATCTACGAATTGAATATAAAAAATAAATTATTTTTATATTTACCTAATTTTTTGACATGATTTATCACATATCAACTTCATTCGGAATTCGGAATTTTTTTTTATCACAAAATAAGTTAAACACGTTCAGGTAGCATATCTTTGTAAATAAAATAATTACTTGTAGACGAGACATAAGAATCCGGACGTGTCACGAGAGGTTCTGGTTTACTACATATTAATGCTTCCATCACCGCATCCACTTCTTCTTCCGAGTTAAACGGATCATCATCTTTTTCAGGTACTTCGTTCTTACCATCATTCTTACCATTTTCTTGTTTATTATTAATAACGCCATTATCTTTTTTTTTTTTTTTTTTTTTTTTAAAAAAAAAAAAAAAATATAAAAAATAATATATATATATATTTTTAATATAAATTTTGTTAAGCTTAAGAAATGCGAGAAAGTTTTTTAAATAAGTTCAAGAAAGTTAAATAAGTTTAGATATTTCGATTTGATAATAAATAATATATATATACTCTGTGGACGTCCAATTGCTTTCTTCTGATATTGAGCTAGCAATATATCATAAGGTTGTGAACGGCCTTGAACCGATCGCTTCAATGCCATTGCGTGACTTTTACAAGTCAATGATCTTGTGCACGGCGTTGTGTTAGGTGATACAATAACACCACATTGCTTATCTAAATCAATAGGTCCTAAAAAACAATGTTTGAAGGGTATAAACAATTTATCCATATTTTCAATATTTTTCACGAAAATTACGAAAATTACGAAAATTTGAAATTAAAATAATAATAATAATAATAATATAAAATTTACCTTTATTTCGTCCCGTGGTTTTTTTCTTTTCTTTTTCTTTCTTGGGTTTCTGTTTCTTTTCGGGTGTCGGTTTAGTTCCCGTAGGTGATAATGGTTTTTTAGTTAATGGGTCTAATATTTATGTAGTTATGTAGTTTAAACTATATATATATAATGTACCAAGTTTTCAAACGGTAATATTCACCGTCTACTTATATATATAAATATACTCTAAAAAAGGAAGAAGAGGAAAGAAGAGGAGAAAGGGTTACTTACCCTCAGAAGTAAGGGATATCTTGCGTTTTTTGTTTGGAGTATAATTTTCTTCCGTATTTGAATTGTTTTTTTTGTTCGTATTTGTAGTAGAAATTGGATTATTGTCTTGTTCAGAAATTTTACTTGTTGTAGCCTGAGAATTCAGAGAATTTGCTTTTGCCTTTTCGCAATTCGCTAAAATTTAATAAAAAATTTTTAATAAATTTAAATAAAATTTTAATAATAAAGTGGTCGAAAATAATATCGAATAATAAAGTGATTTAATTTTTATTAAATATATTTAAAAAGTACCTGCGTGTTCAATAAGACCTTGTGGTAACAGTTTTTTTGAACATTCGTTACATTTTACGGTTCCATTCTCATCCTTTAAAGGACTACAACCATAAACTTTCATATGTAATAATGTTAAAGTGTGTCAAAGATTTATATTTTATAAAATTTTATTGTTGAATTGATAAAAGGAAATAATATTTTATATAAAGAAAATATGATAAAGGATATCATCATGTTTAAATCTCGCAGCAGCCGACGAAGAAAATTTAAATTCTCCTTGGGAGGTTAAAACATTATCTTCAGTCTCCACTACATATATATATATATGTGTATATGAGTATTCGAAAATTTCAATTAGATCGGAAAATGAATTGAAGGTGAACCATTAAATTCGTGAAACCCCTAAATTCATACAATCTTCTTCTATCAAGGAAACTTCTTTAACTTCATTCCAAGAAGAACAATTCTTTATAGATTCTTCTGCATTTGGAGAAGAACTTTCACGTTCATTCCAACTTTCTTCATCTTTAAAAAGAGAAGAAGTTACTTGAGCTACTAAGGATTTCCTTTTGGTAGAATCCATAATAGTTAAAGTGTTGTATGGGGTGTCAATTTTTTTTTTAAAAAAAATAAGAAAGTATGGTAAAGATAAATGATATTTCGTACATTTCATACCATAATTTTATTGGTCCTTACTCTATATGCATATTTTTTTTACATATTTTTTTTTTTAAAAAAGGTAATTTAAAGTATACAACAAATAAATAAATAAATTGTCGACTTGCTGCGAGTTTCTAAATTCATTACTAATACAAAAAAAGATCATTTACATATTATAATAATAGTTTGTTTTAGGTTTTTTAAACACGGATCTTTCATATAAAATATTATAAAAATAGTTTAAAAATAATTGATCGCCTCTCTGAATAGATTTCATTAACTTCGATGAATATGGAAAAAGCAATTAAACAACGCCGTGTAAAAGTGTATCAATTAAGTAGGGAGAGCGAATGGTTAGACAAGGGTACTGGTTTTTGCTCTTGTTTATGTAATGAGGTTAGTTCTCTAATATGTTTAAACTTTATTTCACTAAAAAGGTAATATAATTACCGATGCAAAAAAAAAAAAATAAAAATAATAATAATAATCTTTAGATAAAATGATCGTATGGATATTTCATTTTCAATCTTATAATCTTATTACCTCAAAAGGAGTTACTTATCAAAACAAAAAAAAAAAATATTAATAATTATTTAATAGGCAAAAGACGATGCCTGTATCATTGTACGTTCGGAAGAGGATTCGGCAGTTTTATTATTAAATTCTCGTATAGTTAAGGATCATGAATATCAAAAGCAACAAGGTGAATTAAAATATTATAATGATTCATAATATAACATTTTATATTTAATTAATTAAAGAAATTTCATCAAATCTATTTTTAATAGAAACATTAGTAGTATGGACTGAACCCAATGGAATGGATTTAGCATTAAGTTTTCAAGAACCTGAAGGATGTACAGAAATATGGTATATAATTTAATAATAAAAATAATAATAATAAATTAATTTATAAGATTTTCAATATTTGTCAGGATAAACTAAGATAAATTTTTATTATAAAATTTAAAAGGAATTTTATAACGGATGTTAAAAAACATATGGATGGAGGTAAATTTAATAATTAATTTAATTTAATTTTAATTTAATTTTTAATTTGATTTGATTTCATTTAATTTTTAATTTGATTTGATTTAAATTAATATATTAATTTTTAATTTAATTAATTAAATTTAACTAATTAAATAAATTAAATAATTTAAATAATTTAAATAATTTTAGATGATAAATCAAGTCCTTTACTTGATTCAGAAATGTTAAATATGGTTATAAAGTTACCGGAACCAACTTTGGATAATCTTCCAGAAATTGAGGCAATAGTTAAAAGTGCAAGTCGTTCTATTTATGAAAGAGAAAAGTTGGCAGCATTTGTTACTCAGGTAGTAGTTTTTATTTTAATTTTAATTTTTATATATAATATTTTTATACATTTTATAATTAATAATAAAAATAAGAAGAATTATAATATAATAAGAAGAGTAATAATAATTATCGATTAATCGAAGATCAAATATCTATTTTATTATTTTATCAATTATATATATATATATATAAATATATATAAAATGTGTTTATAAAAAAAAAAAAAGAAAAAAAAGTAAATTAATTAATTAATTGATTTGAATTTAAATAAATTATTATAAATAAATTTATATCAATTATTCTTTATTATTATTATTATATTATAAATTCAATTTAGGGTTATATTGCTAAATTATTACCATTGTTTTCTACATGCGAAGATCTTGATGCTCGAAAAGATCTACACAGATTATGCAATATAATGAAAGGAATAAGTATGTTGATTACATTTGAGTAAATCTTTTAAATATATATATTATTTCTTTTCTTTTTTTTTTTTTATGATATTAACATTTTATTCGATAGTTATGTTACAAGATAGTGAAATTTATGAGTATATTCTACGAAACGATGTGATAATGCATGTCGTTGGAATGTTGGAATGTGAGCAAAAGAATTTATTTAAGAAATTTTTATTAAATTAAATTAAGTATAACAACATTTTAATATATTTCAAATATTAGATGATCCGGAATTTCCAAATTTCAAGGCTAATCATCGTGAATATTTGGCTGATAATTCAAAATTCAAAGAAGTAAGATTTGAATCTAATCCTTTAATGGATATAACCTTCGATAATTAATTTCTTTTATTTTTTGTGGTGTATTTTAGTGATCATCCTGTTTCTTTATTTTATTTTATTTTATTTTTATAATAGATCGTCAAAATAAAAGATACGTCAATAGAAGCAAAAATACACGAAACTTTTCGTCTTCAATATCTCAAGGACGTAGTCTTTGCACGTGTATTTGATGATCCGACGAGTTCTATTATCACTTCACTCATTTTTTTTAATCATACGGATATATGTCAACATATTTCTCAAGATGACGAATTTTTAACAGAATTATTTAACATTCTTAATAATGAATCTGAAGATTCAATCAATAAACAAAATGTTGTCATGTTTGTACAACAACTTTGTTCCATTGCAAAGGGTATTCATTATCCTCATAAAAGAGAATTATATAGGTTTGTTATATTAATGAATTTTTATTTAATGAATTTAATTTATTTTATTTTATTTATTGAATTTTATTTAATTTAATTTATTTAATTTTTATTTTATTTAATGAATTTATTAAATTTTTATTTTATTTAATGAATTTATTTATTATATATATATTTGTTTAATGTATTTGTTTAATGAATTTAATGAATTTAATTTAGATCTTTAGCCAGACATGGATTATTTCAGATTTTTGATCATTCTTTGATGGATGAAGATGTATCAATAAGAACAGCAGCTGGTGAAATATTAGCTTCTATCTTGGATACTGAAGCAAGTATTATTCGTTCTCATATTATCAAACAATCCGAAGAAAATAAGAAAACATTGGCCGAAACTATTATAGAGAGATTCATTCAAGATGAAGATACAGGAGTAAAAGTACAATATTCCGAAGCACTTCGTCTTTTATTAGATATGAATGCAGGATTATCAGAAATGGGATTAATTGTACCACCCGAGGTACCCCCAATTTTTATTTGATTTATTTATTTCTTATTATTTTTACTAAGAAATTATAGTTTATTAATAGGATGTTCAATGTATCATTCAAAAAATATCATTTCTTTATATTTAATAGTCTTTACCGTTACTTCCCAAACAAGATGATGATATCGATAATTTTTTGAATTTATTTTATGAAAAAATTATAAATTTAATGGTTGCACCGATAATGGATTTACAAGAATTGGAAAATGATGATGGTAAATATATATTATATAAATAAATATGTTTCGTAATAGTTTTTTTTTCACGATTATTTTAAGAATAAAATTTTATTTTTATATGTATATATATATATATATTTAAAAAAAAAGATATACTTCAGCTATCACCTGATAAAGCGGCTTTATGTTATCATATATGCGAGCTTCTGTCATTTATTATACGACAACATACTTTTAGAAGTAAATTTTATATTCTTTCAACAAATATAACTTCAAAGATAGGCTTATTATTCAGAACTTCCGAAAAATATGTAAAATTAGGTTAATAATTTATTTATTTATTCATTTTTTTCAATTTATTATAGAAAATCCATTTTACTAAATGAATTATTTTGATTATATATAGCTGCATTGAGATGCCTCCGTGCTTGTATAGGAATGAAAGAAGATTTCTATAATAGACATTTCGTACGAAATAATCTTTTCGATCCTATAATACGTTTGCTTATAGAAACTGAAGGAAAAAACAATTTATTAAATTCATCATGCCTTGAACTTTTTGAATTCATACGAAGGGTATTAAAATCTTTTCATTGTATCATATTTTATTATTATTTTATTATTATTTTATTAAGATTTTTATTGGATGTCAATATCTGTTAATTAATAATATTTTTTTTTGTTCAAATGTAAATAGGAAAATATCAAAATTTTAATAAACAACATTATAGAAAAGTCAGGTGAACAATTGACACAAATAAATTATGTTGAAACGTTTCATCTACTTCAACGACGTTATGAACAAAATAAAGAAATCCTTATTGGATCAGATAAATCACCAGGAGAGACTAATCAAAGGTATGAATTTTGTTTTTTCATGTTTACATAAAAAAACGTAATTACTTTATGTTAATATAATTTCATTTATATATTCAATGTGCATAATATACATTTATGTATATTTGTGTGTGTGTAATAGTCAAAGTAACAGTTATCCAACAGGTCACGAAGGTTGGTCATCAGCCACAGTAGATGAAGAGGAAGAAGTTTACTTTAACACATCAGATGACGAAGATAACAATAATAACAATGTTATAACTGAAGAGAATTCATCAAAATCAATTGGAGAGTTAAAGAAATTAGAAAATGATTCAATAGATGAATATAGATTAGAAAATATAAAACTAAATGATAAAAAAGTGTTGGGTTTAGTCGATTATCCTGATGATGATGATAACAACGAAAATGTGAAAAAGGACATTACTACTACTATTAATACTATTACCACCACAACCACCACCACCACTACTGCTCCTACTACAGAGCATATGGTTCTTGATATATCACAAACACTTGCATCATCATCAACATCATCATCATCTCCTTCTTCAACTACATCACCACCATTATCTCCTAGAACAGGTTCAAGTCTTCCTCCTAATTTTGGAAAAAGACTTGTTCCTGATGATGATGATGATGATAATCTTCTAGTAAGAGCAAAGACTTCACAAAATTTAACAAAAGATAATAATACATCTCAATCTTCAAATGGGACTTCCTCAAAAAAAGGAGGTCTAAAGATTTTGAGAACTTCTCAAACTTTGAAACCCAAATTAAAGAAGACACGTATGGAATAATAATAATAATAATAATAATAATAATAGTTTAGATAATTGTTACCCGCTGTCTGTTTGTTTGTTCGTTTGTTGGTTTATTTGGTGGTTTTTATGCAAAAAATATATATATATATATTCATATATTTCATATGACACCTAAAAGTCAAATAACTCTAAAATTTATAATTTCTATATATTTAATATTTGTATATACATAATATACATATGTACGTCCTTTATACACATACATATATTTTGTAAAAAAATTTTTACCGAAATTTCATTCGCTAAAAAAAAATACATGCATTATATACATATATTTTTTTTTAGAGAAATGAAATTTATTCAACGTTGATTGATATCTTTTTTATTATCTGTAGTTAAATTTGGAATAATCGACGAAAAACATTTCCCATTTTTTTTTTCTTGTAATTTTAATCATCTTTTAGTTCAAATAAAAAAAAAACAAATAATTTTTTATAGAGTTTTTCGTGATATCATGTTTTACAATATTTTTGGCAAATCAAAATTTAAAAATTATCAAAACAATAAAAAATAAAACTTACTCTTTCTGCTGAATGATTATAACAAATGTTTCACTCAAAATTTGTTAGTAATTTTTTTTTAAAACTACTAAATTCCCATTTCTACCTGTAACACGAACATCAAGATGATAAGAAATTGAACCACATGACGGGCAAGAGGATACAGAACAGAAAATACTTTGTCATTCATGAAAGTCAAGACAGATATCACACACAACAAAGATGCCTTGCAGCAAACTAGCTCTGACAACCAATAAACACCAAGACCCTATAAATCTGAATAATGAGTTGAATAATTATACTAATATGCTCAGGCATCGTTATATTGCAAGATACCAGTGTCACCCTTCATTTTGGAATTCGTATCTCATTGTTCGCTGACACTATATTCTAAACATCATGTTTTCACAGGCCGATGTGGTAATCAATAGTTAAAGTGATACTTGTTATCGAAAGAAAAACTCTTCCGTAAAAAAACAAAATTCTAAAATAAATTCTAAAAGTGGAAGGAAAAAATGGTTATACTTGAGAATTTATTCAATAATCTGAATACTAGAATACTAGATAGTTTAAAAATACCAACATATATCAATATTGCTAATTAAATTTGAAATTCACCCATTGCTAACCCCTCCTTCTCCTGCACCTTTTAAATCTTTTAAATAAGCAAATTCACCTGTTAAGGATTTTTTATTTCTCTCTTTAAAATCATATCAAATTGATATTTTTTTATTATTTGATATAATAGCACTTCATTTTTATATTTAAACTAGCCATTATTTTTTTTTAGAGTAACCACTCCTTGTCATGGGGATATATATGTTGTGTACGTTGTTGTTTAAATTTATAAGAAATATATTATTTTATTTTTTTATATATCATTACATTGATAAAATACATTTGGATAGAATATAAAAATATTTACTAATTTTTGATATTCAAGAATAACATTAGAGTTATACTTGCATGCAAAATAGGCTATCATAGTAAGTCAAAATATTTTGGGACCCAAAAGTTGAAATAGTTTTCATAGAAGATGATTTAATTTTACTTAAAATTCAAAATTTTTTGACTACTGGATATTTTTTTATTTCCATATATAGAATAGATATCTCAAAAGTCAGAAATCAATTTTGGGAACATGTATAATTAGGGTTGTTATCCTTAACTTTGTAGAAGAATAATGGTAACTAAACTTAAACTATTAAACTATTTTAGGAATCACACAGGAATTATAGTACAGTTAGTTATATAAGAAGTAATTTAACTATTAACAGTGACATGAGGATTTATTAATAGGCAATATATTACTTAAACTGTAATTGTGAAAGATTATTTAATTCTCACACTTCTTATACTTCTTACTTTCTATTGAGACTTGAAAGAAATTTCAACCTTTATATATATTAGGGATATGTTAAAAATCAGTTGATTTTTTTTTTTACTATAAGGCTTACCTCTTCATTCCCTCCTGAAAATTAATAATTGGTTAAAAAATTCATCAGTAAATTTCACTACCAACAGAGGATTTTTGTATTTTTTTATATTTTTTTGACTTCACTCACAATTTGTAAAGTATAAAGTAATTTTCTACTAAGATATTTCTAAGATAAAAAGAAATAGCTTGTTTTTGACTACAAAATGACATGTGTTTCATTTCTGTAGTATCGATATTCGTGGAGATATTTGTGTTTAAATTCAAATGTCCATGAAAAATTTCTGTTGTAAATTTTCAGAATTTTTCATGACAGAAATTTTTCAGACATTCGAATTTAAATGCAAATAACTCTGTGAATATTGATGATACCTGGATAAAATACATATCATTTTGTAACCAAGAACAAGGCCTTTCTTTCTACATTAGAAATATCTTAATAGAAAATCGCTCTATGCTTCAAAAAACATGAGCAAAGTCAAAAAAGTGCTAAAAAAAAATGATATTTCTGGAAAATTCATAACAGAAATTTTCACAGATATTCAAATTTGAACACGAATATCTCCGCGAATATCTATGCTACAGAAATGAAATACATATTATCTTGTAGCTAAAAACTAGGGATTTCGACCTATCATAAGAATATCTTAGTAGAAAATCGTTACCTGTCACGTAAATCGTGGGCGAAGTCAAAAAATAGAATTTTTTGCAAGTAATCTTCCGTGGATCACGTGATTTTGCGTAATATTATATTTATAAACTGAATATAGATATGAGCTGACTTTTAAACCACGCCCCAAATCATATGGCTCATATAAAGGAACCGAAAAATTGGCTGGATAAACAACAAACAACAAAAAATTCAAACGCATGATCCTCTTTTATTTTTTTATATAAAGGACATTTGTTCTTGGGGAGGAGGGTAGTGATAGAAATTGATACTCATCCGATACGATTAAAGATTATTTTAAAAACAGACACGTTTTTCCTTTTTCGATAAGAAAATCTTATAAATAATGGGCAAGTATTTTGAACACAACGAACACAAATTTTACTATTCAAAAAACCACTTAAAACCTGAAACCCATATCACATTACATACTAATTTGGAAAAAGATTTGGTCTGTTATTATAATTCATAAACACGCATCAACATTACTAAAAAATTTATCACTCAAGATATTTTCCTGATGAGGAATCTTCTTTTCATCACGTAAATATAAAAATTGGTTATGTTCAGAATTTTGGTTTAATCAAAATTTTTAACTTGAATTCCTGCCTGTTTACCCGTTTGCAAATATACTTATATTTTTAATTTTATATAAAAAAAATAACATTTCCGTGATATAAAATTATATCAAAGTGATATCATAAAATATTATTAGTGTTTATAAAAAGAAACATTTGAAAGAAGACCTTTATTATAGACAAATTGTAATATAAAGTATACAATCAATATCACAAGTATTGTAATTGAGATGATAATAGTTATTTTCAAATATTTGAACTTTATTTTTTTTGATTCATTTTGAAATTCATATTATATAATAAATATTATATAAATATTAAATTTTAATTAAATAAGATTAATTTTTAATAATTAAATAAATTCATTATTAATTACCACCAAGATGTTGATTATTATTATTATTATTATTGTTATTATTATTATTATTATTGTTTACTGGATCCCATCTAAGTTGACGAATATATAATAACCAACCAACCATAGCACACATTACTAATATCATTAACGTTTCCATCCAAGCATCTCTTTCTTCATCATTTTGTTCATAATCTTTTCGAACATTATATTCTTTAATTAATTTTTCTCCTTCTGGACCTATTTCACCATAATTTTTTGTATCTTTCGATTCTTCTTTTGAAATTGCTTTTATTTGTTCTTCACCTTCACCACCACCACCACCACCAGAAGAATCACTCCACCAAAATCCACTAGATGCATCATTTTTATTAATGTTATCTCCTCCCACATCAATTCCGGCGAAATAATTCCATATCCGTTTTATATTAAGTTTAATTAATGATAATATAACAGGAAGGTATGCGTCAGGATTAGTTGATAAGGATAAATCATACCACCTTTTCGCTAAATGAAAATCCTATTCAAATATATATATGTATATAAATAAATATATAATTTTAATAATAATATAAATATAAATGTAAAGATAAATATAGATATAGTATAATATTAATATAATTTTAAATATAAATATAATTCTAATATAAATTTAAATATAATAAACATACTTTTACAACACCTATACCATTCTCATACATCCATCCTAGATTCCACATTGCCATGGCGCTATAATCTGATTCAGCAGCAACCTGATAACAAGCTGCAGCCTTTTCATAATCTGATTTAGTACCAAACCCTTTAAAATAATAATCTCCCATTTTAACTCTTGAATCTGCATTTCCTTGATTAGCAGATCGAGTCCAATATAGTAATGCTAATTTTTCACGTGAAACATCGGGTTTTGGTGTACTTGGTAAATTCCACCATGACTTATCTAATATAATATATAATATTGATAATATGATGATGATAATGATAATGATAATAATGATGGGATAATATAATATATAATAATAATAATATCATGTTAGAACATAAAATATTAAATTTTAATATCAATTAATAATTACATACTTGCCTTTATCTAAAAGCCAAGCAACATTTGATTGTCCAACATCATAACCTTTTTCAGCTGCCATTAAATAATATATTAAAGCACTATCTCTGTCACCTGATACATAAGCCATATGTGCATTGGGAAATGGTGAGTGGAGCCAATCACCTCGTTCAGCAACAACCTTATAGAACTATTTTATATTCATATTCATTAAATTATAGAAATTATGGAAATTATAAAGAATTAGGATTATATCATATAAATGATATAAAAATATATATAAAATAATATAAATAATATAACAAAATGTTAACAATATAAATAATAAGAAATAATGCATACTGCAGCCGCAACAGAGCATGACTGTTCTACACCTGAACCGTTTGCATACATTTCAGCCAAATAAAAATATGCTAGAATATGATGCATAAGTTTAACAGCTTTTTGGAAATATTCAAAAGCATTTTTAAAATCATCTCTTTCTAAAGGTTTAATTATTATTAAACAAATTAATTTTGCATCAAAAAAAAAAAAATGTAATAACGAAATTATTATTATCTATCACTTACTCAAATACAATAGACCTAAATTAACTTGTGCATGTGCATCCGGAAATTCCGCATCTGCTGCACTTTTGAAATAACTCATAGCTTTATCGGGATTCTATATGACAGGGATGAATTATTATATAAATTATATAAAATTATAAAAATTAAATAAATTAAATAAATCAAATAAATCAAATAAATTAATAAATCAAATAAATTAATAATTAAATAATTAAATAAATAAAATAAATTAAATAAATTAATTTGTGAAATAACCTTTGAAACTTCGACACCTTCTAAAAACATCATGCCAAGTCCATTGATAGATGCAGGGTTACCCTAAAAATATACAAGTATTAAAATAAAATAAAATAAATAATAAAATTAAATAACAAATTAAATAACAAATTAAATAACAAATTAAATAACAAATTAAATAATAAATGTAAATTTAATAATGAAACAAACCACTTGAGCACCTCTCACGAACCATTCGTAAGCAGTATGATTATTTTGTTCAACTCCTTCACCACGCCAATACATTTGACCCAAAATTCCAGCCGCCTGACCTGCTGCTTGAACAGGTTTTGAAGAAAGATCAACTTCTGTATTATCATTTGGCCAATATTGACTTGCTACTTGTTTAAGAAATCGAATTGCATGTGTGAAATTTTGTGGAGTATTACGAGTTCCTTGGTAATAAAGTTGACCTAAACCTAGCTATATCATAAATATATATATCATAAATATATCATAAATATCATAAATATAATCAATAATGTCTTTAAATTAATTATCATACCTGAGAAGCTATATCACCTCGTTCAGCTGAATAACGATAATAATCTAAAATATCATCCCAAGTAGCTTGATCCCCATGTTTTGAAGATGAACTAGCACCGGATCCACTAGCTCCATATCCAAAAATACCACCATCTTCATCATATAATTTAACTTTTAACATAGGAAGTTGATGACCGCCTGGTGGTCCCGATTTAAAATATTCAATTGCTATATGATTTATTTATTTGATTGAAATAATAATAAAATAATAAAATAATCAATTTTAATGTTAGAAATTTAATGTAGTTGAAAATAAATAAGAAATTAATTTTTTAATTTTTTAATTCTTACCTTTTTCTGCAACTCGTTTATAATAAAATACAGCATCTTCACAACTACGTGGTACACCAATTCCTGACAAATATCGATAAGCCAATGTCATTTCAGATGCAGTATCATGTCCAAGTGCTGCAAAAGTATGATAAAGTAATGCCTAAAAATAAATAATAACAATAATTTTAATAATAAATAATAATAATAATTTTAATAATAAAATAATAATAATAATAATAATAAATAAATAATAAATAATAAATAATAAATAATAACAATAATAAATAATAATAATAATAATTTTTAATTATAATTATAATTATAATTATAAACATTAAAAAATCATTAAACATACTTTTCCTTGATCCCTCGGAACTACATTTCCAATACCAGTCGCGTACATGAAACCAACCATTTGTTGTGCGGTTGAATTACCAGATCGATCTGTTAATTTTCGATAATAATGAAATGCTGCTGAGAGATTACGTGGATGATTATATTTTGCATACTAATAAAAATAAAATTATAAATAAAATTATAAATAAAATTATAAAAATAATATTATAAAATAAAATTATAAAATAAAATTATAAAATAAAATTATAAAATAAAATTATAAATAAAATTATAAAATAAAATTATAAAATAAAATTATAAAATAAAAATAAAAATTATAATTAAAATAATAATTAAAATAATCATTAAAATAATAATTAAAATTATGGTTTTAATTTACAAAGTTTATTTCTCCAAGAGTAAACAATGAATCATCATGTCCATATTCAAAAGCTGCTTTTTCTAATAATTTTATTGCCCTTATTAATTTCGGATCTTTAGTCTCTGTATTTGATTGCCTTTCTATATCTAAATCTTCCGTTGTTATTGGGGAATGTAAATCGAACATAGAGAATAATAGCTGACTGAAAAATTTATATAAGAAAATAAAAATGTTGGGTTCCGCTTCATCTAACATTTGACTTTTCGGAATTTTCCTTTCATTTGGTGGTGTCTCCAAACTTTGAAGTAATCCCATGGCATTATTATATAATTCATTGGCTAAATTTTATTAGTTAATTTAGTCAATATCAAAAAATGAATAGAACAAATGAATAAACTCTTTTGTACATCATAAACACCTACCATTTAATCTACCTTCTAACTTATTCAGTACTGGGTCCGTTACGGTTGGTATTTGTGTTGTGGACTTTGAAATTTTTTTTCCATTGATCAACTTTATGTGGGTGAATGTAAAAAGTAAAAATCCATAAAAGACTAAAAAAGAAAAAAAAATTTATAAAATTAATAAATTTTATAAAAAAAATGAGTTGCTTTAATTAATGTATTACCAAAGATTAAGGTTAAAAGTTTTCGTTTGCACTGCATGTTTGTAAGGTGCAATACTGAAAACGTTGATACCCAAAACGCATCGCCTTTCAGTTGAAATTATGAAATTTTTTTTTTTGATTTTACTAAATTTGAAAATTTTTGAATTTTATATAAAAATAAATCTATAGGATAATATTATGCCACGTTGTCAAAATGTTTTAGGAAAAAATTTAAATTAATTTAATTGTCAATAATAAAGAAAATATTATTTCTAAATAAGGTTCATTTATATTAATTACTTTATCAATGAAATTTTTTTATTCTTTGCATATAATAAATATAGTAATATGTATGTAAACAAAGATCCTCGCCTTGGTTCAAGCCCAATATTTTACTTTGGATCAGATTTGCTAAGATGTTTCAAACACCATTCGAAAGCTTTCGCTTCGAACTTTACATTGGTAGTTGAATCATCTTTCTAGTATCGATATTCGTCGAGTTATTTCCAAAATTTATTAAACATTAAGCCTTGCAAACTTAAATTGAATTTGCGAGTCAAGCCGAGCCTGACTAATATAGGATTGGCTCGTAACTTTATTCGTACCATTATAAAAGAGCTCCAAAAAAAAACTTAGTAGTATTTGGTGTCAAAAAAATAAGATGGTATATATGTGAATCATTTCTAATAGAGCAAGGATGAAATTATTGAATGTAGAAAATATGACTGATACGATAAACTGTAATTGTTATCTTTTACGTAATAACGCGTAGCTATTAGAATTACGTGTTGATGTATATCATAATTATTAATAATATAGTTTCCGGATCCGGATCTAAGTCAACATTTTCGTAGACTAGAATGAGAAACATTTAGTATTTTGGTGAGTGGAAAAGAACTCCGAGAAACCGAGAAACACTTGTGTATTGGTAATTGAGAAAAATATATATAATACATGTTTTGTAGTGTGGTGATAATCCGAAAATCATATTTTGTAGGTGAGGGACCTATATTATCATATGAACTCTTTTTGGTTATTTTGTTTGCAAGCTTGTCATATTCATTCTTCGTCCATAACATTGATGGAAATTTATAGGTGATTCTATTAATATTTTTCAATTATAAATTCCTCAATTACATCAAGTCATCGAAAAAATCCCAAATTCGATTTTGGATCATTAGTTAAGATAATGAAAAAAAAAAAAAACCTCACGAAAAATCAAATAATCGAACGAGAATTCTTGAGAAATTAAACATTTGTGAATTTCCAAAACATAATCAACAGGTTTTTAGGTTTTTTAATATAATCTGAAGTTCAAAGTTACGGTATTTTTAATAATGTTAAATCTTAATAATAACAGTAATAATAAAATTACATTTATGACTCAGGAATTTAAGTTAATAAAACTCAATAGAAAAAGTAAATATATAATAGATTATGATTTTTTTGTAACCCAGGGATTAAAAGGGGTTTCACTCACTGAATTATTACAAAAGATTTAGAAATGCTTAAAGCTTCAGAATATGTAAATTTAGTTCTCAAAAATCAATTTCCTTTTTAACACCAAATTTGGTTACAAGTTTTTTTTGATAGGGAGTATTGTTTATTCAATAGCAAAATTTTGAATTCTTCTAGATTAAAATTGATTTTCATTGGATACATACTAAGTATAGAAAAATAAAATGGATTATTCCTTCATAAAATTAAAAATTATAAATGTATTTATATTAAATTGTAATTTTATTTAATAATAAAATATTTTTTATAATAAATAGATTTATTACTATTATTCTTTATATAGAATTTTAAGAAGTTTCGGAAGAATAAATATTCTATTATAATAAACTATAATTACACTACTAAAATGACTCAATCTAAAACTCGATCCATTATTTTAAGCCAACTTCTTATTGTTGGTTTCAGAGATTTTTATTAGATTTGATAATAAGTATTATTCAAAGAAATAAAGAAAGAAAGTAAGAAATACTTATTCAACAAAATTTGCTTTAAAATAAAGATTACAATAATAAATAAATAAAGCCCAAAATATTCTAAAGATTAAAATTAAAAATTTGTTGCTAAATTTTTATTTTCTATACCATAATTGTGTGATCTATATAGAAATGAAATAATGAGAATAGTTTATAATTAATTGGTTTAACTAATCAGTCAAAAAAAAAAAAAAAAAAAAGATTTTACGATTTTACTTACTTTAGTTCTTCTCATTTTCTTTTGTAACTGAAGTACACCATACATTAATGCTTCTGCTGTAGGAGGACATCCCGGGACATATATATCAACTGGCACAATTCTATCACAACTAAAAATATAATAATAATAATTGTTATTATTATTATGCAAAGGAAATTAATAAATCCCTTAATTGTTGAGTCAAATTAAAGATAATTACCCTCTGACAACACTATAAGAATAATGATAATATCCACCACCATTTGCACAAGAACCCATTGAAATTACCCATCTTGGTTCTGGCATCTATAAATTAATTAGTTTTAAATAATATTTAATTCACATAATAATAATAATAATAATAATAATAATAATAATAATAATAATAATAATAATAATAATAATAATAATAATAATAATAACAATAATAATAATAATACATAAATTAATATTATCGAATATTATCAATATTCGAAATAATTCTTACCTGATCATAAACTTTTCTTAATGCGGGTGCCATCTTATTCGTCAAAGTACCCGCCACTATCATAACATCTGATTGACGAGGGGACGCTCGAAAAACAATTCCAATACGATCCTGATCATATCTTGCCGCCGCCATATGCATCATTTCAACTGAAAATAAATAAATATTTATTTTTTTAAAAAAAAATCAACAAGGGTAAACTTAAAATAAAAACAATTAAAAACTTTAAAACTTACCGGCACAACACGCTAAACCAAAAGTCTGTTCGGAAAAATAAAAGACTGAATTATTTTTGTCCATGAATTTTATAAAATTGAATAAAATATAATATTACCATTGGCCAGATGGAGGATTGACGAGTATAGTTAATAATTTTATCTACTGTGGACAACACATATTCTAAAAATACAATTGTGAAAATAAAATAATTTATATAACATTAAATTTATTAAATCCATAAATAGAAAATAATTAAAATAATTCATACGTGCTGAATTGTCAAAATTGATAAGTGAAGATGATTTCTTTTCTATTTTGCTAACACTTGAAGATGTAGGTTTAATTTCTGTACGACTTTCAGTGTTCAGACCTCGACACTGTACTAATCCAAAAGATGAATTGGTTGACGCCATGACATCTATTTCAAATAATAATTTATGAAATATTTATTAGATTAGTTTTTTTTTTTTTTTTATAATTAGAAGTGATATTTATAATAACTTTATGATTCGAAAAAATTGATCTATCTATTAGAAAATGGGACTAACCATGGCTCACCTTCCTTTTTTTCAAAAATTCGAGAACATTTGTGTTGAGAAACTGCCGATAAGACTTGTGCCGATTTTACTAAAAGTTATGAAGATTCGTTATTTAGACAAGCCTCATTACGATCAAAGAGTATGAAATAAAACCTACAATTTTTCAAAGGAGTAAAAGTTCTTAGTGCAAGCATGTTGATTATATCAAATTCTAGATTCCAGGCTTGCACCGCCTATATATATTTTATTAAGAGGTCACGTTTATGATTTTTATGATAATGCTTAACTCAACCACTAGGGCAGGGGTTGTCATGGGACATACTCGGGACAAAATTAGAACAAAAATTTTTTTTTTAAAAATGTAAATAGTACTACTTTAAACTATTAATTAAGGTTGTTTAGAATTAATTTATATATATATCTATAAAATTTTAATATCTATTTATAAACTGTTTAAGGGTAGGGACAGTGGGGAATGGGACAGCTAAAAAAGCTAGTAATGTAAAATGTACAATCCTGTACTAGGGTTCAGTAGATTGGATTTTTACAAATATTTGGATCTATCCAATATTCATTCTCCTCAAATCCAATTCAGATTTGTCATATACGGATCCAACTTTTTAAAATCCAAATCCAGTTTTTAGTATATTTGGATCAATCCTCTCTTTCTCTCTCTCTCTCAAATCCAATTTGAATACATAAAAACATTTGAATATTTTTTTGTGAATTCAAACTTTTTTGAATTTATAAAAAGTTGTCAATTATTTAGGACCCCCAAGTAATACTAATAAAGATCTACAAAAATTTGAGCAAAATAAGTAACCTTTTTTTATAAATCTCTAAGTATAAGATATCAAAATTTAGCAAAAAATAAAAAATAAACAAATAGAAATATTACATGATATAATATTTACTTATAATTTATTTTTTTATAACAATATTAGAATCAGAAATAATTCATATTGTTTTTACATATAAAATATTTTTATTTAAATAAATAAATATCAAAAATAGTATTAAATAACTATAAAAACAAGACTAAATTACATATTACAGTACTTTATAAAAGTACTGCAACACCAGATTTTTTGTCTTTAAAAAATTCTACAGCCTAAATAAAAGATTTTAGAATAATAGTTACTAAGTTTATTTTAATCCTTAAGTTTAGAAGATTTTTTTAAGATGTTTTTGATATCAAATTACTAATTCCAATTTTGTATAAACAAATAATTTATATGGTGAATTATCACTTAATAAAATTTCAATTGTGAATAAAATTTTATATAGAATGGTTATAGCCAAGATAATTAAAGGGTTGATCATCTTTTCTATCAAATTTTATAACAATTGGATTAGTGATTACTGAAAAATTAACTCTTGAATATTGAAATTTTACTAATAAAAAATTTTTTTAATTATTTTATTAGTAAAATTTCAATTTTTAAGAGTTGATTTCTCAGTAACCACTAATCCAATTGTTATAAAATTTGATATGTTTATTCTTCTCAGGAGGAGTTATCAACTTTATAATTATCTTGGCTATAACTATTCTGCATAAAATTTTATTCATAATTGAAATTTTATTAAATAACAATTTATCATATAGATTATTTGTTTATACAAAATTAGAATTATTAATTTGATATTAAAAACATCTCAAAAAAATTTTCAAACCTCAAGAATTAAAATAAACTTAGTAACTATTATTCTTAAATCTCTCATTCAGGCTATAAAATTTTTTAAAGACAAAAAGTCTAATGTTACAATACTTTTGTGAAATACTGTACAGTTCAAGATACCTAAAAACTAAAATTATACTTGTATGTAAAATTATTTTGCGACCTGAAATCCAAAATATAAATATCCCAAAATTGACTTCAAAATATCATTTCAAAATTTTGATATTTCAAAATTAAAATAGAAGTCGAAATTAAAAACATGAGTCAAAATTAAAAATAAAAATCAAAATTAAAATGAAGTTAAAATTAAAAATAAAAGTTGAAATTAAAATAAAAGTCAAAATTAAAATTAAAATAAAAATTATTAGAAAAAATTTTTAAAATATATATTTTCAAAAGTTATATAAATTTTTAAAAATT